AGACCCCTACCTCTTAGGATGCAAAAACCCTCAAAATGGGTCTCAATTTTCGGACTTCCTAGAGTGGCCAAAAGCTGAAATTGCTGGTATGGATTTGAAGATCTCGTCGTGGGCTTCAATTTGCCGCAAACAACACTCAAAATCTCCAATTGATAAAAGAAAGATCTAAAGTTGAAGTTGTAGAAAAAGAAAAAGAAAAATGGAGAATTGAGAGGTAGAGAGAGAAACTTGCGAGAGAAATAGAGAAAACTGGGAGCAAGTGTGTGGTCTCATGACCGCTTAAAAATGGTGGTGGGTCCCACCAATTTCTTTTCATTTTTCATTTTTCTTTTATTCTTCTTTTTCACCACATACATATATGCATACATATTTAATTTACAATCACTTAAAACACAATGAATAAAACTAAATATGATGCAAATGGACCCAACTAAAATCTCCGTAAACAACAGTTCCGGCAGCGGGTCCCACACGGGACTGTCCGGCCCGAAAAACTGAAAAATGCAAAAATAATCACTTTTGCATTTCAAAGAGTTCTGGACTCAATGAAATACTTCAAACAACTCTCGGACATAACCGGCACACTCTGCAGTGTCCGGTACGAAAAATGTGAAAAGACGAAAATACCCCTGCAACGACAAAATTCCAGAAAAATGAAAAATAGTAAGAATCGAAAACATCACAATTTTATTCAGCAACCAGGGGGCACGACGTCCCGAAATGTACCAGGTTTGCAAAATCGTTTCTCACACATTAAAAAAGTTGTTAACAAAATTTCTGGATATTACAAACAGATCCAACATCATACTCCTTGTGGCTTCAACGTTGAAGATGCAGTAAGTTTTTTTCTTTATAATTTTTTTAAATTTTTATTTTTTTTAATTGGCAATCTAACTAATTTCATTTATTTTTTACTTTTTTATAGCTCAATGAAGCAAGAAATGTATTTAATACGTCAGAAAATGAGCCATTTAAGTTGGATCACTGTTGGTGTATTTGAAAGAATTCGTCAAAATGGAATTCAAGCTCCAACAACAATGATAAAGGGAACAAAAGAGCAGTGGAGATCGATATGAATGAGCCTGTGAATTGGCCAGAAACTGTTTAACCCGCTTCGTCAACAACCCAAACCAATCCATCTACTCTATCAACACCTGGAGTATCAACACCAGGTTCAGTAAACCTTGGCGATGACGATTCACTTGCAATTAGTGTTGAAAGTTCGGATGGCATTGTACGAATGTAATACCCCTAATTTTAAAATGATAGTCTCGATATTTATTTATTTGTTTTAATTGTATTTTTAATTATTTAATTGATTATTTGACTAATTGCTTTTGTGTTTAATTAAATTAGGTATTACTTGATTATTTGATTACGTGTCTATGTATTATTTGTATTTGTCTATGTGTTAATTGTTTAATTAGATTATGTGCTTAAATGGTATTTTGATTAATTATAAATTAAATGTTTTCTTTTCTTTTATTATTTTATTTTATTTTTCTTTTATGGTTATGGTTAGTAGTAATGGGCCAACCAATTGGGTCCCATGGACTATTTAGATAGAAGGTTGGATGTGTATAGATTATTACCTATGGATAGTTGTGTAATATATAGATATATATTATATACATATATAAAAAGGAAAGTAATTTATTAATTACTTTTATGGTAACTTGGATAGTAATATTTAATCTAATGTATATATTTTATATTTAAATAATAAAATATACATAGATTTGATACGTGTTATATTTTAAGTTTCTTTATAATATTATGGTAACTTAAGTATTATTGGATAATTCATTAATAAATAATGGAATGTGTATAATTTATTTATTTAATAAACATATACATAAATTATATACGTAACATATTTTACTTACCTTTTTAATATATATAAAAGGGAAAGTAATTTATTAATTACTTTTATGGTAACTTGGGTAGTAATATTTAATTTGATGTATATGTTTTATATTTAAATAATAAAAATATACATATATTTGATACGTGTTATGTTTTAAGTTACTTTATAATATTATGGTAACTTAAGTATTATTAGATAATCCATTACTAAATAATGGGATGTGTATAATTTATTTATTTAATAAAGATATACATAAATTATATACGTAACATATTTTACTTACCTTTTTAATATTTTAATATATATATATATTTTTAAGTTGACTTGGATTGGGAAAAGGGTTAGGGTTATTTTATTTAGCCTATAAATATATAGCTATAGGTTGTAAAAGGGGGTTAGAAATATTCACGTGATATATTATAGAGAGAGAAAGAGTTAGAGGGGGAAAGAGGAAAATGAAGGAAGGAGGAGAAAAACCCTGTAGAGAGAAGATCAAGGAAGAAGAAGTTTAACTTTCGATCCGAAAGTTTAAGGCAAGTTCTTCTTCTATCTCTTTTCCTTTGATTCGTGTTTCTGTATATGCCTAGGAAATTCGATGATTTATTAAACACATAAAATTAAATAATTATGTATGTTTAATTGGATTAGAGCATAGGTTTTATGAAATTGGTTCATATCTGTTCTTGTGTTATGAATTGATAAATGCATGATTTTGATTTGATTTCCGGTGTGAATTTTTATATGTTTAAATTATGTATTTTTCATATCTGTGGAATGATGGAACGTAGAAACATGCCTAGAATTCCTGAACATTAAATAGCAACTAGGTTTGGGTTTAAATAAATTTAAATAGACTTAATCATAATGATGCTTGCTATTTGAATGTTTTAAACAAACGAATGAGTTTAATCTTTTAATATGTTTTAGCAATTGAGATTAAATGTGTAGGATGAATTGGATATGGAAAATGCTTATTTGACGGTATAATAAAATATCATCATATATATAAGATTCAGTTTATGTAGGACATATGATATAGGAAGCTTAAATAAATAATACTTCATTCCTATTTTGTGATAACTTGATATCATATTATCATAGTTATTTCTGGATTGTTTGATGTATTTCATTAATTGTTACATCAATTGTTGGATTGTGTGGTTTAATGTCCCGGTATGAGACGGTGGCATTCTAGGGACAGATTAACTTATCAGTTAAGTCCTACCTATTTTATATAAGGGAATGGATTAACTAAAATGTTAAGTCCTACTTATATTCAAGTCAGGTCAGCTGAACAAGTTGAATGACTTATGAAGGATTAATTTATTATATAAGGGAATGGATTAACTAAAATGTTAAGTCCTACTTATATTCAAGTTAGGTCAGCTGAATAAGTTGAATGACTTATGGAGGATTAATTTATACTGGATAGGATGGTTACTAGATTATATATATATAAGTATGGTGCCATGATATGAGCTTGAGTCTTAGGATCAGTGGTTAGGGCGCGTATATAGCCAGGGATGTGTAGCTAGATATAATGTAGTTGTGTACCCTGGTAGGTCTAGGTACTCGTGCCCACTATATGTGCGTTTTGCATGTTGCCTACTATTCAGGTTGAGACAACCCTATAGTCTAGTGAGGTTCCTTTAGTGTGTGTATATATATATATATATACGGACTACTAGTTACTGTTGGATTGACTAGGATGTATACGTGTATCGGATCTCTGCTTGGACTGTAGTAGAGTAGAACTTGTTTGTGAGTCTGACCCACCATTATTTTTCAGGTGTTCGTCAGGAGTAGAGGTTGTTCGTGCTGAGCGGGGATCAGTCTACTTCATTCTTCCGATGCTACATAGGAGTTTCTTTATGATTCAATTTCCTGATTTAGACAGTTATTGCTGTCATTTGTTTAGTTTGGATTTTCTAGGGGTCCACATAATATGGATTCCCGAGTTGTATTTTGGAGGATCAGTTGTATCAGAAAAGTTTATTATTTAATGGAAATAGATTCTGAGGTTTATTATTAGATTAACATTTTAGTTTCTTGTCAACATTTTATTTATTCTTTTTTATTCTTTTGTACTCTGTGTTCGTTTATTATTAATTTATTTTGATATCCTCGGGTATTCGGGCGTGGGCCTGGCCAACCTGCATTCTGGAATCCGGGGGTATCACAACGAATCCTTGGATGAAAAGTATCTAAGAAAGGTCGCAAAAAAAGCAAAGAAGAGGTACAACATAACTTATTTTTAGAACAATTTAAAGATTTTACCTATCAAAGTGAGTTGATGAATGCCTTGGCAGTCGAATCTCAAAAAATGAAATTGAAAGTTATATTCGATTTAGGCTTGGAGCAATAACGTACCAAAAGAATGGACATTGAGGCGCAAAAAGAATTGAAAATGTTGGAATTTAAGGCGCAAAAGGAAATGAAAAAATTGGAATTTGAGCAGAAGCAACTTGATTTCGAAAGAGAAATGATGCTTAAAAATCCAAATGATGCTCCAACAGCAGCAACAAAAGCATGGATCATTGATCAACAAAATGAAATTTATGCACGTTTCAGTAAAAGGGGTAGTTTGTGAAGCTATGTAATGTAATTTCTTTTTTCTACCTATGGGAAGCTAATGCAATGTAATTTTCTTTTTCTGTCTCTGGGAAGTTAATATAATGTAATTTTCTTTTTCTATCTCTGTGTAATGTAATTTTTATTTATATATGTAATGGATATTTCTTTAAATAATAGTTTATTAAAAAAATTTAACAAATCTAATCGAAACAAATAATTTTTAAAATATTTTTTATTCATCAGTAATATGAAAATTACATTTTATTCGACTACAACAAATTTAAACATCTTCATTACCAAATTGATTCCATAAATGTTCCATGAGATCTCTCTTTAGATCAGCATTGTCTGATCTATTGCGAATCCTACTTAGGCAAGAGGAAATGTGTACCGCTAACATTGATGGGTTTCGAACGTAATGTGGAACGGAGATTGGGTCATCTGTCGGAGGTGTCCATTGCAAAGTATGTTCGCCCTCGTCTTCAATGATCATATTGTGTAATATGATACACGTTCTCATTATCTTGTTTAAATCTTCTATATTCCAATAAAGTACCGGTTAATGTGTTATAGACCACCTCATCTGCAACACGCCGAACGTTTGTTCTACATCCTTCCCAACAGCTTCTTGTTTGTTAGCAAATAATTTCTCTTTGACTGTTGTTGGGTGTGGGATGGTCTGCATCAAAGTTGCCCACTTAGGATATATACCATCAGATAGGTAATACCCCATTGTACGCCGATGTCCATTTACCACGTAATTAACTGGAGGCATTGAACCATTGATCATGCTTTTGAATACTGGGGAATGATCGAGAACATTCAAGTCATTGTGTGAACCGGCCATACCAAAGAAAGCATACCAAATCCACAGATTTTTCGATGCAACGGCCTCCAATTTGAGGGTAGGTTTATGGCTTCTTCCAGTGTGCGTGCCATGCCATGCTGTGGGGCAGTTCTTCCATTCCCAATGCATACAATCTATAGAGCCAAACATACCTAGAAAACCTCTCTCTTCCCCTTCTCGAATCAGACGTGTAATGTTATCTGCATTTGGTGAGCGTTGGTACTGCTCCGCATACACAGCAATTATAGCATCACAAAACCTCTTCAAGCTTTCGATCGCAATGCGCTCAGAAATCTTTATATACTCGTCACAAAGATCAGCTGAAATTCCATATGTAAGTATACGGATTGCAGCAATCATCTTCTGTATAGGAGTGAACCCCATACGACCGAGGGCATCGGGTTTCTGGATGAACCATTCGTCATATGTTGTAACACTGTTCAAAATGCGAAGAAACAACTCTTGTCGCATCCGAAACCTTCTATGAAATATGTTTGGTGGATAAATCGGATTTTCAGCAAAGTAATCTCGGAATAGCCGTTGTGCTGCCTCTTCTCGATTACGTTTAATAGACGTTCTTTTACGAGGTTGAAAGAATGCTCGCACCCTATCGGGCGATAATAATCTGCTCACATCATTCATCCTTTTTCGATGGATTTCAAAAATATCTTCCCCATCTGAATCTGACGAATTCAATGGAGAAATAGACTCATAGATGGGTATATCTCGTGACGATAAAACCATTATTTTTTTTGTATAAGAAATATGAAGACTTAAAGAATAGAGAATAGGCTTGAAAATGCAAAGAAATGAACTTGATAATTGAAAGAAGATAGAATTGAAAAAAGATAGAATGACTGGTTTATATAGAAATTGAAAGAATAAATAATGGACTTGAGAATGCAAAGAAGTGTATTTCATAATTGAAAGAAGATAGAATGAGTGGTTTATATAGAAATTGAAATATAGCCGTTGGGAATATAGCCGTTGAGAAGAAGACAAAAAATTATTAAATTCAAATTCAAATTTTTTATTTTATTTTAAAATTAAATTAATAAAATAATAATAAAATACTCCCCCCGTCTTATAAAAAGTGTCACTTTTAGGAAATCGTGACTCTCACAAATTGAACTGACACGGTTCCTAAAACATGACACTATTTTTGGGACGGAGATAGTAATAAATAGAGAATGAGATAATTGGGTTCCACACCATGGAACATATGCATAAAAAAAAGTAGAGTACCACATCATCACTTTTTAACTTACGTGACACTCTACTTTCTAAAATGTAGATAGATAACTTGTCTTGCCTACACCACTTGCTCTGAACATGACATAACATTTGTATTGTACCGCTGCATTGGCGTGTGTGGGCCCTCGTATTTATACTTAGGACATGGTTTGCGATTCTTGCAATCACGTAAGAGTGTACTTTGATAACAAGAAGGCACGTGATGCAATTATTGCTATCCAACAGAGTCAATGAAGCAATACCTGAAAAATAAAATAAATTGATTAATTGAAAAGTGAGAATCTTGAACTTCCTAATCTCCTCTGAGTTTGTGGCTAATGCTAATGAGATAAAAGATGGATGACCACCAATTTCAATACAGTTCCATGGCGATTTTGCATTGAATTATGCTAATCAATTAACAAAAAATGTGAAGGGCATAGAGGTAAAATCACACTGACCGAACCAAGGCAGCATATATAGCTTAACCAAAAGAAACACTTGAATTTTGAATAAAACGCATCAATTTCCAGAGATCAAAAGAGAATAGTACGAGCATATTCATTGGTCAAGGTCTTAATTTATCGAAGCAAAACAGCGAGATTAATGAAGATAATATCAGAGAAAGCAAGTATAAGCACACAAATCGGTTAACCTGATAGAGAGTTAAAACAGTTCAAAACCAGAGATACAAAGAGAAGATGAGTGAATATCTTCTTGAAAGTGGTGGCTGAGCCTGTGTTGAAGAGAGACTCCATCTTCTCTGCAACTCCAATTCCTTCTATTCAGGAGTACGGCCGCTTCTTAGAGACTGTAGAGAGAGAAATTCAGAGAGAAGATGGTGTTAAAACGGTGGGTTGGGGGGCAAGGGGGGAAAGAAAAAATGGTAACTGGAAAACTTGAAAGATTGAAACGTTCAAAACCCAAAGAGAGATTTTTGAGAAAGATCAAAAAGGAAGAAAAGCGGGGTGAGGATTATGTGCACACAGGAGAAAATAGAAAACAACTCTCCAATCAGTAGAGATTTATGAACCTCAGTCCACATCAACGGCGTTTGCCACATCAATAAGTTGCCACGTCAACGGCGTTTGCCACATCAACATTGGATTTATACAGGTGAAACATCAGAATCAGTGCGATGTAAGGACGAAATTGACCCATGTAAGGCTATTTGCACCGACCTTTTCGAATTTTGACTCTCTAAAGATGCCATGTCAGCTTTATCAAGAATCACGTTAGCAATTTTAAGAACTACGTCAGCAGTTTTCGTTCTTCAGAAATATGCACTCCATCAGGTTCTCCGAATTTTTGCTCACCAAAAAAAATAATAATAAAAAATTAAAATTTATTTATTTTATTTATATTTTTTAACTTTTCCAAAAGGGTGATATTCGTAACGACTATATTTTTAACGGCTATATTTTTAAATAGATGAATTTATAATTTTTATTAATTTTTTTTCAATTTTTTTTTTTTTAAATTTATATATATATTTTTAAAAAATTATAGCCGTTAAGGACTATTTGTGTCGGCCAAATGGTGCCTTAACGGCAAAATGCGTTATTAACAAGTTTTTTTAATTGATTTTTGGACCAAATAAAATTTATTTTTGACAAACAGTGCCTAAACAATATACTTTTTATTTAATATATTTAATATATTTTTTATTTAAAAAAAAAAGCTCAAAATAACCTATTTTTAGGTTTTAATAATAAAAAAATTGCCAAACAGTGCCTTAAGGCTTTGTTGGAATAAGACAAAAGAGTTGCACTAGAAACGGCGTCATTTTGATGACAAAAAAAACAAAAAAAAAAATTCAGCGATCGCAAGCTCGCGAGCAAAATTGGGCCCTACCACTTTTGACTAGCCTGCTGCACGCCCAAACAGTCCATTGACTTGCCGAAAGTGGGCTTTGAAGAGCCCGGTGTAGCTGATGTGATGTAGTATAATTAATTATCACCATCCTGAATTTTTTCCTTTTTTTTTTTTTTTTTTTTATTTTTGAAAGTTAAAATAACAACATATGTAAGATAGGGAATCTGGCCATTTGGCCACAAACACTAACAACCTACCAACTGGATTATCACGCTACACCTTGAATTTTTTCCACTTGCACACCCGCTAACAATACTCTCTTATAAGAGATTTAATATATTTAGAGTACATACATTATGTGCTTGCCTCCGCCTTTTAAATAATTAATTATCTCTTCTTCTTCTTTTTTTATGAGTATTGATTCCTTATATTTCACATATCAAAATATGTTACTACAAAAGTCTTCAAAATTCATGTCTAGTTGTAGAGGCACTTTTCAAGAACGTGTGAGAGTTTAGGTTCGAGTCACCCCATCTTTCTAAATGAAAAAATAATAAAGACCACATATAAAACATTGGCACATCCACCTGTACTAATTTTTTTTTTTTTCTCTGCATTTTATACTTTAAGTTTTTGAAAATTTATGAAGTTGCCTCACTGAAATTACAAAAATGAGCCCATTATATAAGTTTATCCCGACAAATTAAAAGGTCACCTCCTCACATAATTTTTTGAATCCGTCAGTAAAAATATAACCAAAAGAATAAAATAAAATAAATAAATCCATATACTTTTGTCTTTGTAAATAAAGGAGAACCAAGACTCCAAAGTGCATATACCCAAATAGATTTACCATTCAATTGAAATTATCAAAAAAGGGGGAAAAAAAAAAATCATCAAATCTTATATACAAACGAAGCCAAGAGAGATGAGTTCCACTATGAACTAACAGTCTAAACTATTGGAATCCATAGAAAGGAATAGTGATGGAAAAGAATAATAAGAAGAGTAACTAAATTCTTTTATTTTTATTTTCTTTAATGAAGTATCTAGGTATGTTATTTTACCTTAATGATATTTAATGGTAATAAAAAGAATAAATAAGTTTTTTAAAATAGAGAAAATAAAGATCAATTAAGTAATTGTATTAAATTATAATTAAAAGTGAGTATTAGTGAACCGTTTGAACACCACTTTTTATAAATATATATATATATATATATATATATATATATATAATTTTGTATTTATGTAAATTTGCTAGCTTTAAGTGTTTAATAGATAATAAAATGACACCATATATTAATTTTTTTTTTCTTAATTTTATATTACTAGTATATTTTTTCTTTCGTCTATGAAAAGTATGCATAATAAAGACACGCAGTTGAAGATGCTGCAGAGCAATGATGCACTTTCTTCTTTGGTTGGCTCCTTTACAATGATAAATGTAACGAGCTAACTGGCATTATCATTAAAGATGAAATTCTTTGTAAAGTCACGCACTCTGTTTGAACTTTGAATGGACAAGAACGTTACTCAGCATTGCTCTTTTAAAGAGGCGACTGAGCTAAGACATTATATATATATATATATATATATTCTTCCACAATTCATAATTTTCTTATCATGCATATCCATAGTCAATATATATATATATATATATATATATATATATATATATATATATATATATATTTGGGTCAAAAGATGGATTCATGGTCAACAAAAGTCAACTTCTTCCAACTTCTGTTACCTGTTTACCTGAAGTTTTCATTTCTTACAGGCTTGTATGATCCGGGTTTTCTTTCGATCACATTTCAGTTCAATAGAACTTGAGTTTTCAGAAGATCCCTGATTGAACTTTGACTATGAAACTTTCTTTTGGGGATACTCATAACAATTAGTAATTTCATTATATTATTCCAAATACTAGTATTAACATCTTCGTGTGATCTTTTTGGTTACTTGGATTACTTCAATAGAGCCTCTACTTTACTTGGATTGTTGTAGAATAACTCTCAATCTCATCAATCATCATCATTAGGGTCTGATTTCTTGGTTGGTGTATTGGTGTGCTTGTAATGGATTCTTGCTGTGCAACCTTGAAATTGAATACCCATTTGGCAAAAGTAAACAAAGTTGGTCCCAACAACATTTTGTAGCCAAATCAATTGACTAATAATAGTTTGAAATTTGAGGAAAGGGTGTGGAAGATAACCTTGGGTACTTGCTTCCTCTGTTATTACATCAAACAATGGCAGAGAGACTGTGGTATGTTATTTTTCATTATCTAATCCATGTTATTGTTTTTGCCTTGTACATGGACAGAGATATTGAAATCGAACAAGAGAGGTGATGAGAAGGTGGGGAAGTTTTTATCTATTTTCTAAAGTGTGCAAAAAAATCCGTGTTTTCAAAGGGGGTATTTTGGATACTACAAAAGGGTAGTTTTGATATTAAAAGCTAATTTTTGGTCACATGCACGGCACATGTCAATTTTCTTGATCAAAAACCCTTATTTGCATTATTTTAAAACTACAAGGTGGTTTTTGAACAACAGGAATATTATTTGTATTTTTTAAAAAGAATAAGAATGTTTTTTGCAATTACCCCTTAAAACTATATTTTAAACATTGTTTTAAACTATATTTTACTCCTTAAAGGGTCTTTAAAGGTAGCTGTTTTCGGTTTGATGC